CTCTGTGTTCTCTGAGCATGTCACACCTCCCCTGTGCTTCTGTATTTTTGTACATGGCTATTCCTACTTTTTGGGATGTTGGCTCCAGCTACTGATTTCTCTCCCCAGCCCCTCCCTCCTTTCCTGATAGACTTCTGAAGTCTTAAGAATCTCTGCCTAAGTAGTCTCTTTCTGAAGCTTTCTTTCGTCTTGCTTCAATCCTTCAAGCTATAGTCTTATCCCCTCTATTTATAGCACGTAGAATACCTTAGTACCATTATTTATTTATATAGTCTGACTACTTCAACTGGATCATGACTGAAACTAGGGAACAGATACTTTCCCTCTCCATTGTGCCATTTTACTATGACTGTGTAGATGGATATATAAATAAATGTGCTCTGTAAACCACAAAGCACTATTACATTATGATGTTAATTGTGTTCAGTGATTTTCAAGAGGAAGTTGCCTTTTTGATAATTAAACATCTTCAGTTTTTTTATTATACAATTTCACCTTTCTCATCATTTACTTTTATAAAATATAAGACATATGATTACTTGGGATGGGGGTGAGGACTGTACAGATGAGAATTTTTCAGTTCATTGAGAAGACATTTACATCTAGCAACTTGGCTATTTATAAATAAGAGAAATTTGGGGTCATTATTAAGGAGGTGAAGGGATAAGCCTTTGATTTAATTTATTTTCTTTCTCATCACTTTCTCCTTACAGTGCTCAGATCTAAGATGCTATCCTCAAATAGGACATAGAGCAATTTCTTACACTCCTGGGTTAATCTTCTGGTTAAATCAGTACCATATATGTGAAAGTGTGTAATAGACTTATTCTGACCCTGACTTCATTCTTTCTTTCTTCCTATCTATTTATTTATTTTAAAGATTTATTTATTTATTTTGGGAGAGCGAGCAGAGGGAGAAGGAAAGAGAGAGAATCTCAAGCGGACTACCTGCTAAGTATTTACTCCCCCAGAGTGTGGAGCCCTGTGCGGGGCTATTTTTCATGACCCTGAAATCAGGACTGGAGCCAAAACCAAGAGTCAGTTGCTCAACTGACTGAGCCATCCCGGCGTCCCTCGACTTCATTTTTTTGTGTGTGTCACTCTCCTTAACTTCTTTTTTTTAAGTCTTTCAGAAATCATTCAGACTTCGTGAACATTAACTATAGATACACTTAATGTATTTTTAAAATAATGAGTACCTGTGGTGCTTTACTAGAAAATACATTATAAAGCTGAATGTTGTAGAACAAATCTTTTTTCTGAAAAATAATGTTGGAATTGGGATTTTTTTCCCCACAACTAAGGATTTGGTGTAAGTGTGTTGCAAAAACAAAGATAAAGCTATGTAAGTTTTAATAATAATTTAAGATAATAAAGTATTAAATGAGCTTAAAGGAATTGATTTTATAAGGAGTTACTCATTTTTTCAACCAAAACTTCTTTCATTGTATCTTGAACTCTGCCACCTTTGCCCTTACTTTTAGTTTATGACCTAATTCCCAACATCAGGAAAATATGAAAGCCATCAAGATGAGAACTCTCCCTTAAAGTATTCCTCCTTCTAGCCCCGTATAACTCCCCCCCCCCCCCCCCCCAGCATTTCAGTCTTTGCTCTCTAAATTTTTACCTCTCTCTCTGATATCAGCAACTCCTTTTCTCTGGGTTTTTCCTGTCAGTACTTATTCTATTTAGGTCTTTTCCGTCTTGAAAAAAATAATAATTCTTTAACCTGTGTATTACTCCAGCTACTGACATCTTTTTCCCCTTCAGATACCTATACTTACTGTCTTAGTTTGCTTATGCCCCATTCATTCCTCAACCTTCCACAGTACACACCCTGCCGCTACATCACTCCAGCTATTTTTGCCTAATCTACTGTCTGGTGACTTCATCATTGCTAAATTCAGGGGACACTTCCCCATCCTTACCTTACTAGCCTTCTTTGCAGCTTCTGATACTATTTACTATTCTGCCCTTTTTCAAAATCTTTTTTTTTTTTTTTTTTTTTTTTTTTTGGACAGTGCTTCTCTTTGGTGTCACTTTACTCTCATAGCTTTAATTACTGTGGATATGCTGATTATAGTAAATTGGTGTCTTCAGCTTTCTCTAGAGCTTTAGACGTGTTTATTCAGCTTGGCATTTTCACTTAGGTGTCTCATATGTACTGTAGACTCAACCTGCACAAGACAGAACTGCCATCTTCTTGTTCCCTCAGATCTTTTCCTCCTGCCGTTTTTTTTTTTTTATTTCAGTCAGTAATATGCCGTTAACCTATTGCCAGAGCAGAAATCATTTTCTTTGACACCTCTTCCTTCTGCCCAGAGTTCAGTCACCAGGTGCTATTGGTTCTGCCTTACATCGCTCCAGTCTACCCTGTATGGCAGCCGCCATTCTGTGGCCACCACCATCATCTTTCACCTGAGTAATTTTAACACTGTTTACTTTTAACTGGCTTCTCTGCCTTCTGTTCTTATTTACTCTCCCTAAGCATTCAAATGGCAGCCAGAGATATTTTTTTCAAATAAAATATAATTGATATTTTCTTTTTTTTTTTTTTAAAGGTTTTATTTATTTATTTGAGAGAGAGAGAGTGCGCACAAGCAGGGAGGGGGGGAAGGGAAAAGCAAACTCCCACCACTGAGCAGGGAGCCTGACGTGCATCACACCACCCTGAGCTGAAGGCAGACGCTTAACTGATTGAGCCACCCAGGCATCCCTTTTCTTTATTTTTTTTTTTTAAAGATTTTATTTATTTATTTGACAGACAGAGATCACAACTACTTGTGCAGAGAGGCAGGCAAAGAGAGAAGAAGGGAAGCAGGCTCCCCACTGAGCAGAGAGCCCGACGTGGGGCTCGATCCCAGGACCCCGGGATCATGACCCAAGCTGAAGGCAGAGGCTTTAACCCACTGAGCCACTCAGGCACCCCCACCCAGGCATCCCTAATTGGTATTTTCTTATTAAAGAAATTTTTTTTAAACTTTTTTTTTTCTTACAATTTTATTTATTAGTTTGACAGAGAGAGAGCACAAGCAGAGGGAGTGGGAGAGGGAGAGAAGCAGGCTTCCCGTAGAGCAGGGAGCCCGATGTGGGGGCTCGATCTCAGGACCCTGGGATCATGACCTGAGCCAAAGGCAGATGCTTAACAACTGAGCCACCCAGGTGCCCCTCTTATTAAAGAAATCTTAAATGGAGTGCTTCCTGTTATTCTTGGAGTAAAAAGACTTATGTTGTGGTTCTTGATTAATGCCATCAGCCTTATCCCCCGTTGTTTATGGTGTCTATTCTCCCTCAGATGGTTTTCTTTCATTTCATTTGTCTTCACATTGTGTTTTCCCCTTAACTCATAACACACACACACACACACACACACACACACACACACACACACCCCCCAGCAGTTTCTGAAGTCTGATCTGGGAACTGCTAGTTACCCCTCACACACAGTCCTTTCAGAGGGTCCATGTGGTTGGCACTGTTTTCATTGTAGTGCTATGATACTGCAGTTGACCCTTGAATAACATGGGGGTTGGGGTTGGGCTCCGATAGCCCACCACTATGTAAAATTCATATATAAGGACGCCTGGGTTGCTCAGTGGGTTAAAGCCTCTGCCTTCAGCTCAGGTCATGAGGGTCTTAGGATCCAGCCCTGCATCGGGCTCTCTGCTCAGCGGGGAGCCTGCTTCCTCCTCTCTCTCTCTTTGGCTGTGCTCTCTGCCTACTTGTGATCTTTGTCTGTCAAATAAATAAAATCTTTAAAAATAAATAAATAAAATTCATATATAATTTTTACTTCCCCAAGAACTTCACTACTAATAACCTTACAGATAAACAGTAGATTAATACATATTTTGTATATTACATGTGATACATAGTGTATTCTTACAATAAAGTAAACTTGGAAAAAGAAAATGTTAAGAAAATCATAAAATATACTTATAGTACTGTATTATATTTATCAAAAAAAATCTGCATATAAGTGGACCACGCAGCTCAAACCCATGTTGTTCAAGGGTCATTGGTATTTCCTTTTCTTATTGTCTCATGAATGTACAGTGGGTTTTTTGCAAAGGTGTCATAACATGATGATGTCATTGCTCTGGTGGCTAATAGGTATATGCTTTTGCATTCTCTGTTTTTAAAAGTTCCCATTTAAAAAAATCTAATAGGGTAAATAATGATAGATATAACAAAAACTCTTGAGAGTCTTCAGTAATATCCAAGAGAGTAAAGGGGTCCTGGGTCAAAAGAGTTCAAGAATTGCTGTTTAGGCTTCATTTCAGTGGTGTTTCTTTTGGGAAGTTTTTGCTTAGGTCCTCTACCAGAGTAACCATTGAGTAACCTCTGTGGTTTGCACTTGCCCTATCATAGCACTTATCATACTATACTGTGGTGTGTTGTTTATCTGTCTAGACCAGTAGACGCAGAAAGCTCTATAGAACAAGGAACTCTGCTGTATCCCCAGTACTGAGCACAGTTCTGAATACGTAGTAAGTGCTCAATAAACCATGTTGAGTGACTCTCTTCGAAGGTATTGGGGGATATGAGGACTATAACTTGTTTGAAATTATCACCATTTTGTACTTTAGTGATACATTCATTTCTTAATTTTTTGACCCACCAATATCTGAAAGGGTTTTAGAAAACAAGTTGTGTATGTGTGTTTGTCGAGTGTTACAGTACACACACGTATACACACACGTACACATACATATATAGAAAGGAAATGTATATATATTAGAGCAGGAAGAACCTATTTCTAAGTCTTTGCCTTCCCAAACCATGGAGCCTTGGACAAATCTTTTTATTACTTTGAATCTGACTTTCCTCATCAAATAGTGGGATTGAACTAGATTATCCAAAACCTTTTTCCTATATGATATTCTGTGATTACATGTGAAAGGTGTCAAAAATGTATTATGTGATTTATATTTATATTTTATTAAAAATGCACATACATTTAGTTTTATCCAAATATTAAAATAACTTTGTTTTTACAGGAAAGATGATAAAGACTATGCTTTAAAACAAATAGAAGGAACTGGGATCTCTATGTCGGCATGTAGAGAAATAGCAGTAAGTGAAGTTCTTTTTATAATCATTATTATCAATTGACTGATGAGTGTCAACTATGTAGGTCTCTGAATTGTGTTTGTCACATATACACATTAATTGAAAGTTGGTAAATATTTTTCTTATTGACAATCTATAGAAAAATACGTTTGTTTCCTAAGAGAAGTAAAGGCATGTAGTTCTAGCAGGAATAACTATGTAAATCCATTTGTTTGGGAGTAAGTCAGTATTAGTTGTTTATATAAATGTGTATTTTTCCAATAAATGTCACTAAATATTAAGGGTCCAGTTATTCATATTATTTCATTGGGTGCAATAAAAATAAATGTGTATGAATCTATATGTTAGTTCATTAAAATTAATATTTCTATTTTAATAAAATGAGATTGATGTCATTACTTACATGAACTTAAAATGAGATTGTATTATTTGATTTTCATTTTGTCTGTTCATTTGAATATGTAAAAATATGTGCTGTTTTCTTTTGGAAGCATAGCTTTCCATATGGTGTTAGAATCTCATTTTGATTCCAAAGGAAAACATTCATGTTAATGCATTACTAAACAATTATTCACACATTTAAACTGAGAATTACTTCCATGAGATTTTACTTCAGTTGTTACTATTGTAACACTGTGGATCCAAATTTGTCTTCTTTTTTTTTTTTTAAAGATTTTATAGATCACAAGTAGGCAGAGAAGCAGGCAGAGAGAGAAGAGGAAGCAGGCTCCCCGCTGAGCGGAGAGCCCCATGCGGGGTTTGATCCCATGACCCTGGAATCATGACCCGAGCCGAAAGCAGAGGCTTTAACCCACTGAGCCACCCAGGCGCCCCCAAATTTGTCTTTTCTGACTATAATCAAAATATTCTAGAATATGTATTAAAATCTTTGTTTTTGTCACTTTTAGACCTTGTATCTGTCTACAGATAATAGGCTGTTGTAACCTGGATATATTAATTTAAATAATTTTACCCATTTAACAGATTCTATACCACTGGGGTTTCTGTTAACAGCCATTTGTTGTGTATTATGTTGATGAGAACTAGAGTAGGTAAAAGTAAAGAAACAGAGCAAGTGAGAATCCCTGGCCTTAAATATTTACACACCGATGAGGTAAGGCACTCATAAATCTTATAATAATAGTGTACGGGAAGAAAAAAAAGGGCACCTGTATGGCTCAGTTGGTTAAGCAACTGCCTTCGGCTCAGGTCATGATCCTGGAGTCTGGGGATCGAGTCCCGCATTGGGCTCCCAGCTCCATGGGGAGTCTGCATCTCTCTCTGACCTTCTCCCCTCTCGCGTTTTCTCTCACTCTCTCTCTCAAATAAGTAAATAAAATCTGAAAAAAAAAAAAAAGTGTATGAAGAGCAATGATAGAAGTATTTGGAGAGTGAGAAAATTACCCACATCTCAAACCAAGAGAATCAAGGAAGGTTGCAGGTTTTGGAAGACATGTAAGAATTACCTCCATGAGGGGTGCCTGGGTGGCTCAGTGGGTTAAGCCTCTGCCTTTGGCTCAGGTCATGGTTTCAGGGTCCTGGGATCGAGCCCCTCATCAAGCTCTCTGCTCAGCAGGGAGCCTGCTTTCCTTTCTTTCTGCCTACCACTCTGCCTACTTGTGATCTCTCTCTGTCAAATAAATAAATAAAATCTTAACAAAAAAAAAACAAAAAAAAAAAAAAAAAAAGAATTACCTCCATGAGGGAAGAGTAGAGGTGAGGTGGAGGGCATTCTTTCATAACCAAAGGTATGCCATGTTGGAAGTTATATTTCAAGTAATTGGTAGATTTTTAATGTTCTTGAATCTAAAGGAAGGATATCTGTACCTTAACTATCAGTTCTTCAATATCTACACTTCTACATATTCTAGTTAGCTTTGAAGAATTAAAATCCATTAAACTGTGGTTAGTGATGTTAGATGTCATGATGGAGATTACCTTTGGGGAGGGCCAGGGAGTGACAGAAGGGGGAGACAAGGGACCTTCAGGATTCTGTTTCTTGATCTTGATCTGGGTCTGGTTATGTGGGTTTACTGTGTGAGAACTCACTGCACTGTGCATTTATGGTTTTTGTGCTTCTCTCTTTATTAAACTTGAGCAAAATGTTTTAAAAAAAAACTCATTCATTTTAGGAACAGGCATTCTTCATGTATATGTTAACTGTAAATTCAGTTTGGCATAGAAAGAAATACAAAAACTTACTTTTAATGTGTCTGATTGTGGTTCTTCAATCTAAAGTGAGCAGAAATTTTTATTTTTGATGAAATTTACTAATTTTTCCTTTTTATGACTATTGATTTCTGTATCTGGCTGAATAAATCTTTACTTATGGTTGTGAAGAAATTTTCTTTTGTTTTCTTCTAAAAGCTTTTGTTTTTTTGTTTATGTATACTTAAGTCATTTTTCTTTGTATAGGTGTGATGTAAGGTTTGAGCTTCTTTCTCACCTTACCCCCTATGAATGTACAGTTGTTGTAACATCACTTTTTAAAAAAGATTCTTCCCGCATTGACTTTGTTTGGCACCTTTGTAAAAATTTAAGTGACTGTGTAAGTATGGACTATTTCTGGGCTCTATTTTGTTCCATCTTTGTCTATACTTACGCCATTATCAGGTCACTCTAGCTTTACAGCAAGATTTAAAGTAAGATTGTATATGGCCACCAGCCTTATTTTTCTGTTTCAGGATTGTACTATTTTAGGTCCTTTGCATTATCATATAAACTTTTGAATCAGCTTGTCAGTTTTTATTTCAGTAATATGCCTGCTGGGATTATGGTTTGGATCAATTCAGGGAATATTGACACATCCAAACCATGAATCTAAAAAGATATAGTTTCAGTTTTTAAGGTTTTCTTTAATTTTCTCTACAGCATTTTATAGTTTTTTAGTTGTAGAGGTTTTGTACACCTTCTGTTAAATTCATTTCTAAAGAGCTTCATGTTTTCTGGCACTATTGTATATGGGATTATTTTTAAAATTTTAACTTAAAATTTTATTTCTCATTTGTTTGCTTCTATACTTAGAACTTTAAAAAGAAAAAATAGAACTTTTAAAATATTGTACATTTTAGATACATATGTAAATTCACTGGCAGGTTTTGATGATACATGCAGATTTTCTGCATAAATAATTATGTATGCAATTTAGGATAGTTTTCCTTCTTTCCATCTTTTTATTTTTATTTCTTTTCTTTTTGCACTGGCTCGGGACTTTCATATAATGTTGAAGAGTAATCAGGATGGATGTCTTTGACTTGTTCCCAATCTTGGTGAAAGTGTTTTCAGTGTTTCACCATTAGGTAAAATGCTAACCATAGGGTTTTTTTTAATAAATGCTATCAGTTAGACTAAGGAACTTCCTTCTATTTTTTTTATAAGTGGTATCAAATTTTTCTACATGTACCAAAATGACCTTGTAGTTCTCTTTTATTCTGATACATTGGTAGACTGCATTGATTTGTAATGTTTATCTAGTTTTGCATTCTTGAAATAATTCTTGCTTGGTTATATATTGCTAGGTTTGATTTAGTAATATGTTGTTAAAAAGCTTTAAGTGTATGAATTTGAAGGATGTTGGTCTATAATTATGTTTCCTGTAATGTCTTTGTCTTTGGTATCAAGATTGTGCTGCCCTCATGAAACACATTAGGCAGCCTTTTTTCATCTTCCATATTCTGACAGTTTCCGTAAGATTGATAGTTTTTCTTCCTTAAATGTTTGATAGAATTCACCAACCAATATTATTTACTTAGTAGATAAAGAGCTCTTCAGATTTTTTCATCTTGTGTTTGATATATTGTATTTTTTCTATAATTTGTCTATTGCCTTTTTTTTTTTTTAAGATTTTATTTATTTATTTATTTATTTGATAGAGATCACAAGTAGGCAGAGAGGCAGGCAGAGAGAGAGAGGAGGAGGCAGGCTCCCTGAGGAACAGAGAGCCCAATGTGGGGCTCAATCCCAGGACCCTGAGATCATGACATGAGCCGAAGGCAGAGGCTTTAACTCACTGAGCCACCCAGGCGCCCCAATTTCTTTCTTTTTTTTTTTTTTTAAAGATTTTATTTAATTGACAGAGAGATAGGGAGAGGGCACGTGAGCACAAGCAGGGGGAGTGGCAGGGAGAGGGAGAGGGAGAAGCCGACTCCCCACTGAGAAGAGAGCCCAATACGGGGCTCAGTTCCAGGACCTTCGGATTATGACCTGAGCCGAAGGCAGACGCTTAACTGACTCAGCCACCCAGGCACCTCTGTAATTTGTCTATCTCTAATTTGTCTATTTTGTTGTTGAATTTATTAGCACAAAGTTGTTCATAATATTCTGTAGATTTCACATCTATAGTTTCTGTGGTGATCTCCTATTTCATTGCAGGTTGTAATTTGTGTTTTCTGTTTATATCATTGATCTCTGTTCTTATCTTTATTCTGTTTTTCCTTCTACTTTGGGCTTACACATCTCTTTTATCTTCTTAAGATGGAACCTTAGATAAGTGATTTTAAATTATTCTTTTCAATAAGCAATTAAAACTATAAATCTTCCACTAAGCTGTGTTCTACTTGTATTCCATAAGTTTTGTTATGTTGTATTTTCATTGTCATTTAGTACAGAATATTTTTAGTTTTCTTTGTGATTTTTGTCTTTTATTTGTGGATTATTTAGAAATACATTGTTTAGGGGCACCTGGGTGTCTCAGTGGGGTAAGCCTCTGCCTTCTGCTCAGGTCATGATCTTAGGGTTGTGGGATCGAGCCCCACGTCAGGCTCTCTGCTCAGTGGGCCCCCTCTCTCTCTGCCTACTTGTCATCTCTCTCTCTGTGTCAAATAAATAAAATCTTTAAAACATATATATGTTGTCTAATTTTAGGGGTGCCTGGGTGGCTCAGTTGGCTAAGTGTCTGACTCTTGATTTGGCCTAAGGTCATGATCTCAAGGTTGTGAGATTGAGCCCTGCATTGGGCTCCATGCTCACCGTGGATTCTGCTTGTCCCTCTTCCTCTGCTCCTC